CCCCAAAACCCCAAAACCCCATACTACATTTAAGATTAATCTATTAAATTAGTTTGAAAGTTATAATAATAAATTCTAATACAATTCAATGTCAGATTAAAAGCAGTATTTTAATGTCAATGAGAATAAAACTCGAAACGGAAATATAAATAGTACAAGTAATCCCTATGCCTAAAGCGCATCATAACTACCCTCAAGCATTATTTAAGTAAAGCTAAATAGAATCAAATTAGCATTTAGAAAAAAACTGAGAACAATGATTCGACTGCCAAAAAATCATTCAAGAGTTTGAGGTTTGATTTGAGTGCAGATAAGAATCAACATCAGAAGTCAACTATTTCTACAACCACAGCCAATAAATCGTTCTAAATACTCCCTTACTCCGCTAATGCTGGAAACTGTAAGTTTTAATGCAAGTTAATATGATAGAATAAAGCTCATTCGCCAACAATTCTTATCTCATTACTCCCAGTGATTCTAATAGTTAAAAATCCCTATTGAACTCTAAGAAATATAATAAGAATAGTGATATTTCAGGTTTAAGTACTTCTTCTCAATAGAAAACTTAGAAAGATTAGTTTGAAAATTTGAAAGCAAAGAACCAAATTTATTTGCTATCTAGAAATAATAACGGTAAAACTTAAAGCTCTACGATAGATAATACAATAATTGGAAAACGTCGAATATCTCTCAAGTAATACTTATTAATATAAAATTAATCTATTTATAGTCAGAAGTTTTAGAAGTAGTAGGATGATCACTTCATCAGCCTTTTTACTTACAACAAAACAGCTTCAGGACTTAAGAGTGAGTACAAGAATATTAAGAGTAAGGCAGAGGATTTGCTTAAAAGTTTTCACACTCCTCAGCCTCAATTTCTTAGAGCCAAAAAACACAGTGTAGACTAAATTGAAAGAACAATTCTCAGAGATTCTATAGACGGCCCAGATGATGTAGCTGCTTATTATAAACCCAGAAGAAATTTAAATAAGTACGATGAAAAGCAAGATAAACTAATGAATGCAATATCTTATAAGAGCTCTGACAATTCAGTGTAAATGCAAAAATTTTACAATGAAAAGAAAGTGAATAATAAGGATAAGTATCAGTCAGAGTAGACAAAACATTACCTCAAGAATAGACATAAACTGGATAATAGATCTTAATTACTAGCAAGAGATTACTCTAAATCATCGTTGCAAAATTAAGGAAGTAGCTAGAATGCTATTACTAATAATAATAATTCTCCTTCAAAAAGTCCGAGACCATTCTTTGGAATGAGCAGAATTTCTAGCCATAATTAGCTTCACTAAAAATCACTATTACTATAGTCAAACAGTTAATCTAAGCTAAGTGTAGTTAACAAATAATCTCCTAGGATAATTTTTAAGAATGGTTAAGTTTAAAACCTGGATGAACTAAACTTTATAAGTGATGCTGAAGTAAGAGCATTATACAAAGCTAAGTGTGAAGATCTAGTGATTCCAGAAGTTGAAGATTAATATGAGAAATTCAAGGAGAATTGCTAGCTGAACTCAGTAAATGGAAAACTCAAACTTCATAATTTTAATCTTGGCCCAAGAGCAGCAAAAGTTATTGCAGACATTATGGTCAGAAACAGCAACTTTAACCACTATATTCTGTCAGGTATTCTTATAAATTTTTAGATATATAGATAATTTTATTGGAAACGAAGGTCTAATGGCTATTGCTGATGCCTTATAAAAATAGAGTCATATCATCAGAATTGATGTATCAACAAATAACATTACTCAATTAGGCACAGACTATCTATACTCCTCTTTGATAAGAAATAACACTCTTATTGATATTGATATTTCTTCAAAGGAAGGTAGATTTAGGAACAGAATGACTGCTAAAGGAGTTGAAGCACTAAGTCAAGTTATATTAAATAATCCATTTTTGCAAATCCTAAATCTGTCAGGCAATGCATTGAAAAATGAAGGAATCAGAGCACTCTGCTAAGCTATTTAGGAAAGTCAATACAAGGCAATCATCTCTCTTGATATTGCTGAAAACGAGATAAGTTATCTTGCTTGCGAATACCTACATAATCTACTAGTTGATTCAAACATCTTGAGATTAAATCTTAAAGGAAATAATATTGGCAATTAAGGGGCGGAAAAACTATCTCAGGCATTTTATTTTAGTCGATCAAAACTAATTTATATTAACATGGCATCATGTGGCTTAAAATAACTTGGAATGATAAAAATATTGGATGCTATTAAGTATAACTACTAAGTGCAAACTCTTATCCTTGATGATAACTTCGGAGGTAAAGGCCATAGTTTTAACATCATGCAATCATTGATGTCGCAAAATAGATGCTTAGTACAGTTTAGCGCCTAAAACTGTATGCTTGATGATTCCTTTTGTATTCCCTTAGGTGATGGACTCCATAATAATACTAGATTAAAATCACTGAACATTTCACACAACTAAATTGGGAATGAAGGAGCTATATCAATTGCTACTGCTTTGTCTTTTAAAGGAAATAATACTAATAACACAACAAATTGTCTCTAAGAGTTAATCATAAGTCACAATGATATTGGGGAAGCAGGAGGAATAGAACTTAGTAAAATGATTTAATCTAATAAGGCTATTTTAAGGTTTAATCTCTCATACAATAAAATGGGAGATCAAACTGGATAAGATATGATAAGAGCAATTGGAGACAATGACAAGATAGAGTATCTCGATCTCAACAAGAATCAAATTAACTGTCGATATGTTGAATTCATCGAGGAAAAATGCAAAAGAAATATCGCTGAAAATCAAAAGGCAATTGTTCCTCACTTCTAGAAGGACCTTAAAAATTTATAAGAGGTAACTTCTAAGTATCCTTAGGTACAGAGAAGAATGGCAAGAGCCGATAAGAGTAATGTGAAAGAGAATCTGAAGTATCAGCAAGAATAGTTAAGATTTGAAAAATATAAAACAGATCTGTAGTACTAATCATAAATTATTGGTTCAGAGCTAATCAATATTGAGAGATTATCCTAGAAACTCTCTTTGAAATTAGAAGAACTAGACAAACAATGCAAAGTATGATATTAATTGTTGGAAATTCTTTTAGGCCAAAGATGATGTTCTGAATGATTAATTTATGAAACTGAGAAGCGATTTACAAGATATAGTTAAAAGCAATAAGCATGCTGACCTTTTTAGTAAGATACAATTACTAATAGCTTTTATTAGTTAGAGAGAATAAAGAGAAGACCAGAATCAAAGCCAATTATCTCAGAGGAGAGTTACATGCTTATAGGAGAATATAGATTGATATCAATTCATAGAATGAAGTGCTTGAATCTAAGATACTGTAAATGAAGGCAGAAAGATTATATCTATTAAAAGAATAGCACAAAGCTATGGTCATAGATCCTAGCTTCAATGAATCAAGGCTTAGTAAGGAATTGGAATCGATTAAAAAAGAAAACTCAATTAAAAATGATAAAAGATTTTCACTTGCACAAAGTCTTTCTCCAAGAAAAAGACAAGATCCCCTGTTATTGTCTTAGAAAAATGACTCAATTAAAAAATAAACGATAGCTGGTTCCAGAAATCTCAATTCTTTGAGTAGACAAAAATAGCAGTCTGCAAACAACGCTAATTTAGCTAAGTAATCGCTAATGAATGTTACTGCATTTGATAATTAACCAATAAAGAGGCCTAATAGTAAAAAGTCCTCTTATAGTTCAGCTCAAATCACTAAAAATGCAAAATTTAATACTCTCAAAAGAAAATAAACTATAATTTCAAATAATATAGATAACTTGTAAGGAATTTCTCAACCAAGAGCAAGTTCTAATCAATCAAACAAGAGGAGACATATGAGCTAGAAAGATGTTTAAGTGCATCATATTAATTTGATCAAAGTGTAGTAGATAAATGAAATACAAGAATAATCATCACTTTTCTCATCTGATTTTGAGGAAAACGAGAAAAATCTTTGATGAGTCATTCTTATTGACCAAGATATACAAATTCAGACTATAATTTGTTATCAATTCAAGGTTTATCTTTATTATGACTATTTAAATCTTGATTTCATAAATCATGCTTGGGGTTTTGGGGTTTTGGGGAGATCGGAAGACACACGTCTGAACTCCAGTCACTATGCC